GGGTGTAGGGTTTAGGGTTCATAGGGTTTAGGGTAGGGTCTTTGTGGTTTGTTGGGCTTACAAGCTTTACAGGGTTTCTAAGGGTTCACAGCTTGCTTCAGAATGGAGGCAGGGTGTCCCAACGCAGAGTTGAACTCAACAAGTCCCATTTACGCTCACAGACCAAGACAATCCTAAACCCTAAACCCTAAACGTCATTCCCTGGGATGGAGTTCAACACCCTCAACACGGAAGCCCAATCCCGAAACCAACCTAAACCAGTACCCTAAAGGTCCATGTACCCAAATAGCAGAGACTTTGGCCTTAATGTAGTCCCTATGTAGGTACTTTAGGGCCAATGTATATACTATTTGGGTACATGGACCCTTAGGGGTACTGACAGCCAAACACAGCACTTCTTCAGCCCTGCCGAAGCCCATAAAACGCGTATACCTTGCTACAAACCTTACAAAGCAGTCCTCAGCCCGGCAACACTCTCATGAAACCCTACATAAACCCCATGAAACCCTACAGAACCCTCATAAAATCCCTAAACCCTAAACCCTAAACCCTAAAGCCCCCCATGCAACCCTAGAAAACCCAACTGCCAGCCAGAGCGCTCCTTCAGCAGGCACAAGGATCGCCACCAGAGCTGCCCTTTCATCGCCGCACCTTACGGTTGATAAGATCAGGGCTTATAGCTCATAGGGTTTAGGGTCGATAGGGCTCAGACGGTATATTCATATGGCTTACTTTATTACTGATAGGGTTTATAGAGCTCTTCGGCCTTGCAATAGGTTTGTAGGGTTGAGAATCTTTATAGGGTATGGGGTTTAGGGTTAAAGGTCAGCCTGATTCTAAAGCCTGCTGCTAGGGGAGTTTCTCGGTTGTCGGATCAATTTCATATGTGAAGCGTAGAGCTCGGTCTTGAAGCCATAGCAGAGAACCACCTGGCGAACGAGCAAGTACTGTTCATGACACACCAGTCATAACACCAAACAGTCTTGTTTTTTCCATCGTGCGTTTCTGCGAAATAGCATAAGTAGAGCCCCCGACAGCAAGCCCGTGATTTTACAATCACTTCAAACACAATCTCCCATCGGCGGAAAGTGAAATGAAAACAGTAGGATGCTGTAGTTGCAGCATGTGATTGATACCGGTAAAACTCAACAGTCTATCAAACGAGCTGAACAGCTTGGAGTGTTGCCTGATGCCGCTGTTCTATATCTAGATATATACATACCTATATGTGTATAAATATATATATATATATATATTTATTTATACATATATAATTGACTTCATACTTAATACAGCCTGAGCACACTGTAGAGCCCCTAAGGCCCAGACTGTTTGACACTGCAGCTTTTGGTTCTTCGGTGGCTTAGGATGTAGACAGGTGTGGGGTTTGTGCACACGCGTGTCGCCAGGGCATTTCCCGCCTTCCCCAAAGTCACTGAAGTGAGACTTACTTAATTGCAATGTAGCGCCACTTCTGGTGTGAGGGGGGAGTTTGGCGGGGGTGCAATTTACTAGTGTACTTTTTGAATTGAAAGTCTTCCTGGCGGTAGCTCCACGGAACAACAGGCATTGTCCGTTTGTAGGGTACCGCGGATTCTCATAAGAATGACCCTCAAATAGCAGGTACACTTCCTTGCTTTGGGGTATTTTGGTTGCTCAAGCAACGCCCCCAACCCGTAAACCAAAAAATGCAAAACCCTAAAACCCCAAACCCTAAACCCGAAACCCCTAAAGCCCTAAAGCCCAGACCCTAACTCCGTAGGGTTGAGAACTGTTGTCAGGTGCTTTTCACCTTTCTGAGCCTCGGGATGCGTCGTCTGCCTCGCCAATCATTGCAGTTGAACGGTTCGTTGATCTACTAGGAGGCCCAGGGGACTTAGTAAGTAGGTTATAAGTAGAGTTATAAGTCCCCTAAATGGAGTTACCCCACTTATAACCCTACTTATAACCGACTTGCTAAGTCCCCTGGGCCTCTAAGTAGGGGTTTAGGGTTTAGGGCTTATAGGGTTTAGGGTTTAGGGTTTAGGGGTTTAGGGTTCTGGGGTTTAGGGTTTAGAGTTTACAGCTTAGGGTTAAGGGTTAAGGCTTCGGGTGAGTGGCTTAGGGTTTAGGGCTTATAGGGTTTTAGGATACAGTACGAACTCAAGTGTTTGGAAAGGAGCCGGGCAAATAAAGGCTCTCTTGTAGAACAAAAGGGCCCCTGACTTGGGACCTGTCCTCCTTAAGCCCCACATCCACCGCCCCAAGCCCGCTTACATGGGTAGTTCTCTAGATTAGGGTCCTCCCTTCTCAGGTCCCCAATATGGTACGGCACCCTTATAAAAGGAACCCTAAAAGGGACCCTACTTTAGAGAACTGCCCATATAACCCGGACCTTTGCCGAAGCAGCGGCAGCATGGGGGAGAGGGCCATCGTGCTTGCAAGCTCGGAGAGGCCTCCGCCAAAGGGTAGCAACAGAAGCTGACCCTAAACCCTAAACCCCGGAAACTCCCTAAACCCCTAAACCCCTAACCCCCTAACCCCAAAACCCCTAAACCCTAAACCATGCTGCGGTATAAACCGTGAAACCTTAGGCCTCACTCCCTAAAAGCCCGTTCTGGCTCCCTTCTAGGAACCCTGTAACCCTTATAGCTCCCTGTTAAAGGAACCCGCACACTTTCTTTGAAAGCGGGAGGTGCATGGCTGCCGCTTCTGAGTTTCATGCACAAGAGCTGTCTAGCTTGACGCAGTGAAGCTGCTGAATAGTCAACCCTACACTTTCGAAACCTACGGACCTTAAATCCTAAACCCGAATGCCTAAATCCTAAATCAAAAAATTTTCAAACCATAGACACTAAACCCCAACCGCCTCACAGCTCCTGGCCGGCTGATGACCTGGCGTGCCTTTTTTTGAACGGGCACAGGCTCTCTTGGCAACGGCCCTGACCAAGACTTGACCACGAATTGGTAGCGGTGCCATAGAGCACCGGAAGACATTTACAGTGGTGGGCAGCTGCGAATCATCTGAAACATAAGTTTCAGAACTCAAGGCGATCTGATAGATCTTGAGCAAAACTCAAGCAACCGCTTCTCTGCCATGCTGTCGCAAGGCAAGCGAATTTGTAGCTCACAATGAACAAACTAAATGCCGAACACCTTTTGGTTCAGGTCAGGGCTCTGATGGGCTGCATCCATGAGCTTTCGGATGTGCTGCTGCACACTCTCACCGACCCAGCTTAGCATGACTTGGGTCACATGCTCGTTCACACGCTCGAAGCCTACTGTATGCCGAATCATTGCCTTCACTTTCTCCTCGTCTGCCTTCTTCCAGGCTCGGGCGTGTTCTGCATCGACGTGGCGTAGAGACCTGCAGATGTCCTCGATGCCTGTCTTGCCAGCTTCGACAGTCTGCTGTAAGGACAAAGCGGCTTCTCCCGGCATGATGAACCTCAGTCGTCCAATATCCTGGAGGGAATTGAAGGTGAACCATTGGAATCATAACCCGCGAAAGGTTATAGGTCACTTACTCTGTACTAAACCCTAAACCCTAACCCCACATCAAAACAGTGAAAGGCTGCATACTCTACTGCTAAGAAGCACCACCGGGATCTCCAGCTTGGAAGCGACAAACTGTTCATACACTGTCCAGACTCGTGACAGATAGACAGGCTCCTGCCAGGAGTCGAGCACTGCAACCATCCTTCCTCAGCCACCGGCTTCATCCACCCCCAAAAAAAAGCTTAAGTGTTCACTTTTATGGGAGTTTACGTTAGCCATACTAAAAATTACTAATTCGGTTACCAAGCTTCCTATCCGGACCAGGTTGGTCTCGAAGACGACTTCCAGGTCTGAGCTTCCCTCTTGGGTCCCTTCCTGAAGGACGAAACGTATCCTAAAAGGGTTTAGGGTTCAATTCTCATAGTATAGGGATGCATAGTATTTGGCCATAAAGGGCCCCTACTTTTGAGGGTCATTTGCTCTCCGAGGTTCGACAATGATGCGGAATTGGTTGTTCGTGAAGAAACACATGAAAAAGAAGACCTCTTCCGGGGGCGCCTCTGGCCTGTAGCTCCGCAGAGCACTCGTGACCTGCGATAAACGGTACTGCCATGTCCATGACATAAAATGTGTCTGTTCATGACGTTCTGTTCGTGGAATCCAGTCAACCAATGCACAGCCCAGGCGACCGTCACGTGGGCAGCGCAGGTCTTGTCCTATTGCATCGTCGGTAAGCCAAAAGCCACCTTACTGTGGACCTTATTTTCCCAGAAACTAAGCGAGCTATAGGTTCAGTCGGTTAAATCACTGATTATATAAGGGTGATAATACCCCCAAAAACGGTTAAAAGGTAAAAGGATACTCTGCTCGGAAGCCACTTTTCATGTCCATGAAGCTGGGGTCTGACTGGCCAGTTCGCTGCCTGGCCAGCTGAGCAAAGCCTTCCGACAGAAGGTACCTCATGCTGACACCCGCAACTCTGCTCTGCGCAGCCCTCACCTCTGCGATGTGGCTCTCGATGTCGGTCATTTTGATGCCCAGCTTGGTCAACGCCTGAGTATACTGCGGCACTGTGTCGGCGTCTTCACTCCACAGGTCCTGGTACAGGGAGCTTTTGACCTTGTCAATCCTCGCTCTCCTTTTCGCTCGCATGTATGCATTGAAAACGCCGCCGGCCACCATCAAGCACGCAGTGCCGACTGAAACTAAGGGCAGGTGCCACCACATGCAATCGTCGTCATGAACCAAGCTCGGGAAGCTGCAAGCCACACAGGCATCTGCTTGATGTGGAGCGTACCAAGACGGGGGGCATGGCGTACAGCTGCTTCGGTTTGAGTTGGGCACGAGGCCCACATCGTAAAATCCACACTCGTCTGCGCCTTCCCCAGAAACTTGCCCGGATCGGCAGGGCTGGCAGCCAAGCCCGTTGAAAGCAGGAAAGCTTCCGGGCTTGCAAGGTGGAGAATCAAACAGAACTGCACCCTTGAACATGACGTCGTTAAACACAAGACGAGAAGTACTCCACTGCCAAAGAATTTGGTTAAAGGCACTGGCATATCGAAACATACTGCTCATGTCGGTCACCGCCCAAGTGTTCCAGGAACCGATGGGCTGATTGAAGTCATAGGCATACATGAACATGTAGCGCATGTCGGTTACCGACGAAGTGTCCCAGGAATGGATGGGCTGATTGAAGGCACGGGCATGCTGAAACATGTAGCTCATGTCGGTAACCGCCGACGTGTCCCAGGAATCGATGGGCTGGTTGAAAGCTTTGGCAAAACAAAACATAGAGCTCATGTCGGTAACCGCCGAAGTGTTCCAGGAACCGATGGGCTGGTTGAAGGAAGAGGCTTTCTCAAACATAGAGCACATGTCGGTTACCGACGAAGTGTCCCAGGAATGGATGGGCTGATTGTAGGCACTGGCATGAAACATGTAGCTCATGTAAATCACCCCCGACGTGTCCCAGGAATCGATGGGCTGGTTGAAAGCTTTGGCATAACAAAACATAGAGCTCATGTCGGTAACCGCCGAAGTGTTCCAGGAACCGATGGGCTGATTGAAGGCACTGGCATGCCGAAACTTGTAGCCTTGAAACATGCAGCTCATGTCGGTAACCGCCCAAGTGTTCCAGGAACCGATGGGCTGGTTGAAGGAAGAGGCTTTCTCAAACATAGAGTACATGTCGGTTACCGACGAAGTGTCCCAGGAATGGATGGGCTGATTGAAGGCACTGGCATGCTGAAACATGTAGCTCATGTAAATCACCGCCGACGTGTCCCAGGAATCGATGGGCTGGTTGAAAGCCTTGGCATAACAAAACATAGAGCTCATGTCGGTAACCGCCGAAGTGTTCCAGGAACCGATGGGCTGGTTGAAGGAAGAGGCTTTCTCAAACATAGAGCACATGTCGGTTACCGACGAAGTGTCCCAGGAATGGATGGGCTGATTGAAGTCATAGGCATTCTTGAACTTTTTTTTGACTTGAGGCGCAGACGAGTCGTCTCGGTCTAGCGTGAGGTGAAAAGCAAGCGCACACGATGTGTGCTCTCGGCTGCTGACTGTGAGCAGGCTTGGGCGCTGGCTGTACACGCGCACTTAGAGTGCCAATCTCCCGAAGGAGCTACAATTGACACTCCACGCACAAAAGATCATTTAAACACTTACGTAAGGGCATGGTACCACTCCAAAATGGTGTGCATCCAGCCTGTCTGTACTCACACACATCCACACACCTAAGAAGCACGATAACGCAACTGTGAAAGCGCTCAGCCCAGAAGTGGCTGGTTTTGGGCCTGAAGTGGCCCAAACTGGTTTTGGGCTTGGAGTATGAGACTCACTCTCTCATCCAAACAGCCGTCCAATGGCGGTTTGCACACTCTCGTGTACTGGCATGTTGTCCGCCTCCAGCTGCTCATGCTGGCTAGGCCCCGTCTCCACCTTGCGAGGCGGGGATGCAGATCCAGATCGGTTGCACCTCGGCATGTCATGATGATCTTGGTGTTCCGCGTCACCCTCCTCAGCGGTATCCCCTGGCAGCGAAAGAAAGTCCAGCTTCACTTCGTGGGCATCATCCGCCCAAGCTTCTTGCTCCCATGGCACGTGCGATAACCATACAAGATAGGCATCCACAAGGTCCGACACATTGGCGCACGGCTTTGGCGCGTGCGCATCATTCATACAAACTGCGTTGGGGAAATCCATCACCAATGCAGCGGTGTAGTGCCCTGACCGATAGTCGGGCCCATGATGCTGAATGATGGCCTCAACACGGTACCTCAGCCAGACGGCATGCTGCGGCGAAGCAGGCATGTTCTCGGAATCACTCCAAGATGGAGGCGACGAGAAGTATGGCACATACAAGACAGCAGCATTAATGCCCACCTGCATCGGTTGTTTGAGGCCTGCCGCTCCACGTCGCCCCAATCTGATGCACAGCTGTGGCACGGGTCGTGTCAATGCTTGCATGGGGCCTTGTTGTAGATGCCACTCCTCTATGAGGTCCTGCAGCGTCCACTGTTGCCGATGTTCCGGCACGTCAAGCATGATCATGTGACCTATGTCAATCACTCTCGTCTGCTTTTGTGACTGTCGGCTTTCCGCAATCCCCGAATATAGTCCGAACATGGGCGCTAGTAGCACGTTGGTAAACTCGGCGGCGTCTTGTTGCGCCCCGACCGGATGGTCAACGCACCAGGCTGCAAAGGCGGGCACGGGAGATAGAAGATCTAGGAGAGAGCGCGTGCAGGATGAAACACTGGTCGGGTTGATGGGTTGCATCAACGTTTGCAGCCAAGTGTCGTGCATCACACCGCCCCCCCCACTAGCCTGAGCACCAGTTCCCCCGATAAGCAAACCACGCATGCTCCATGCAAGAGCCGTCACACTAGCATTGGCGTAGCATAAGTTCATACCATCGTTGACCCATCTCCAATGGAGGATCTGATTGCTCATCATCGGCAGCTCCGCTGCCGATCTGTGCATCTCTACTGCGCCTTCTTCCTGTACACTAGCTTGGCTATGTCCTGAGCTGCGGGGCTTCGCTGGAGATTTGCCGGGCGCATCCTCAGCAGTACCACTTGCATCACCGAGCAATGACATAGCTTTCGGAGCGCCTGATACAGGTCCGTCGAGCGCGGTGCTCTCATGGCGACGGTCAGCTTCCAAGGAATGACGTTGGTACTCACTGGCGTTTCCGATGCGCTCTGCGTCATGTCCACCTTGTCGAGGGCTTTGAGGGCACAGAAGCGTACGATTAGGCCGGGAGTTTGTAGCATCTGATAGATGCTGCGCACCAGCTCGCACGCATCCTTCATTGGGATCGGCGCATCCTTGAGCGGCACAAGCTTCTTGAGATCCGCATTCCACTTCATGTAGTACCAGGCCTGACCGTCTGGTGTGAGGAGCTCCTGCTTGATTAACTCCTTCCGAATGAGTTCCCCCTCCGAGGTCTCCGACATGGTTTTCTCCAGCCGGAGCTCCAACTCCCTGAAGATCAAGGCACTCATCAACATTCGCAGTGGTTGGCGGCCGGTGTCCTGCGAGCCCTGAGCTTTGTGCCACTCGGTCGATACCTTCAGAGCCATCTCGCCCAACGATCCTGGGCCCACCGCCTGCATGAAGACCATGAATTCCGACTCCAGAAACAAGGTCTGCAAGCTGTCCTCGTGAGCTATCAAAAGTCGAGCCACCTTGCTCAGAAGATCGTGGTACTCCCGGCTGCCATTCGCATTTGCCTTGCTTTGGCCCTTGTTGGCCCCCTTCCCTTTCCCACCACGAGGATGCTTGGTGGGTTGGTCCTCCTTCGAGTCCTCCTCCGCCGGCCTCTTGAGCGCAAGGCTCGGGCAAAAGATCTCCATGGCCGTCAGCAGAGAATCGTGGCTTTGATCCTCCCCTTGCTCCGCCATGCTCAAATCGAAAGGCATCAAGCTTCTGAAAAGAGTTGGACGCAGGCTGCTGTTGAGCACTTGCAAACACATTCATGGTCTGTTGCGTGAACCCTGGAGTGTCAAGCTCATGCGCATGTGAAGCCGGTTGGCGCTGCTTGCGTGCAGCATTCATGCGACGAGCCTTGGGTGGGGGTTCCGGGTCATGGCGCCTGTCGCTGTTCATGAGCGCCTGAAGTGGAGTAGGCAGAGATTCTGAGGGTCCAACAGGTCCCTCTCCGGCAGCTATGGCTACGATCGGGTGGCTCACAGGAAGTGACTCAGAGGCTCGTTGCAAGGCAGAGCTCAAGTCACTTCGTTCGGATGAGCAAGGCCGCACCTCATCAATTGATTGCGTCGTTGTGCTAGTCATCGGTGCAGGAATTCCCTCAATGAGCACGGCCAGTTGCAGCAAGACTGGGCATTTATGCCCAGCCAGTCCGCTTTGGATGTGTGCCTGGCAGTAGCAACAGCGTTCAGAGCAGTTGCGACCCTTGAACCTTGTGTGCAGCTGTCTCGATCGACTGAGGGCTGAGGCACAAATCTGCGGATGCTGAGTGCTTAAATGCGTACGAAGCTTATTGGCGTAATCAACGGGGGCATCACACACCACACAACGTGCGGTCATCACCTTGCAACGATCTGCGTCTTTGAGGACATCTTCAAGCCTGTGCTCCTCTCGAAGTCTAGCGATGCTGGCATCATAAAGAAGTCCTCCTTGCTGGGGCGGCCGGTCTGGATCGAATGAGGGGCAGGCCTGATAGCAAATGTGCGAGCGTAGACTCTTTCTGTCCTGGAGCTTCGCATGACAATGTGCACCGTTCCAAGTACCCGTCAGGGCGTCTCTGAGAGGATCAAACAACTCTGGTTGCAGAGTTCTGGGTCCCGTCTTGTGAACCAGCCTGTGGTGTCTCTTCAGCTCCTGAAGATTCTGAAACGTCTGGCTGCACTGGTCACAGGTCTGACGAGGATGCGAAGTGGTGGCCACTTCCACCGCTTGTGTGTTCATCCTCTTTGTGCCTGGCAGAACAGATGCTAAGTCTGGAAACGGAGGAACATGCATGCATATGTCATCGGCAGTTAATGCATGACTGCGCTCCTGCCATCTGGCAACGTTGGTCACCCAAAGCTCTTGTAACTCATCTAGCGGGGCTTTCACACGTAGGCGTGCAAATAAATCATGATTGGTCTCATGTGTAACATGTGAAGGACTTCTGGCAATGCTGCGCAAATGCTTCATCACGAGTCCGTGTAGTCTCGTGGCGCCTTGGTGCTGTAAGCCTGCTTCAAGAATGCCGTAAGTCGCAGTTGACCAGACGCAAGCGCGATACAGGTGGAGTCTGGAGCGAAGGCTGTGATTCCGAAAGTCGTGCAGGATAGGTTTAAGCCTGTTAAAAGCATGTCTGGCAGCCTCAAGTCTGCGATTCATCGTTTCACGCTCGTGGCACTGGTAGCTGATGGTGGCCCCCAGGTAGTCGTATTTTTTCACTAGAGGGATATCGTACCGGTGGCCGTTCATTGACTTGCAGACTAGAATTCGCTGGTCCTTACGGCGTCGGATGAATCGCTTGATGACTTGATTCCGGCCTCCACCCGCAAGTCCCAACAGGGCAGCAGACTTGCCCGTATTCACTTGGAGCCCATGTGATTCTATCACATGCAAGAACTCAGAAGTCTCCCGCAATGCTGTTTGGACTTGTGCAAGGTCTTGAATAGACCATCGCAAAATAAAATCGTCTGCATAGACGACGACATGCTGCTGTAGCCATTGTAGCCCTTTAGCTTTGGCAATCTTGTCAAGAATGAAGATAGTGGTTATCCCCCATTCAAAAGGAGCCTCTTTGGAACCTTGCTTAATCCCCCGGGTGCTCTGGACGATTCCCTTAAGACCTTTATGTAGTACCTCGTATGTGCCGCCAGCAAGGAACATGTTAAGCGCCTGTTCCAGCGCAGGTTCCAGGCTGAGCATTTGCAGACCGTCTGAGACATGCTGACGACACACAGTGTCAAAGGCTTTGGTTAGGTCAATCGTGACCATTAGCCCTCCTTTGACGTCCTGCGATCGCGACTGTTTGACTCGAGTTTTGGCGTGTGTCGCCATCACGTCTCTGGTCTCACGGATGTGCTGGAAAATCGTCAGTAGGCAGTCTGATGTGCTCCTGCCCGGCATATACGCAAACACCGGGTACGGCTTGTGGAAGTGAGGCTTGGCCTCCTGAGCTTTGGTGGCCAGCACTCCTGTAATGACCTTGGTTACGGGATGCTGGAGGACGATGCCTCGCAAAGCGCTTGGATGGTTCGGTGCTTTCCGGGGCTTTGGCAGTAGGCAAAGTCGGGATTTGTTCCAGTCATCCGGCACACAGCTTGGCTCCTGGCACAAGCACTGCTGGCATTCCAAGAAAGTCCTGTGGGCAAGTTCCTTCGCAGCCATGCGCCATGCACCTGCCGGTGCAAGGTCAGGCCTCAGAGCCTTGGTCAAAGGCAGGGCACGAAAGCCAGATTCCAAATCCGCCTCAGTGAAGGGAAGTGAGGGCAGAGGCCCAAAGCGAGCAGGATCGTAATCAGGATCCCGGAAATAGGTGAGCAATTCTTGCAAAGACGCTTCTGGACTGTGCATGGCCCCGTCCTCTGCTCTCAGGTGTACTGGTCGCATGTGCTGTTTCGGGCATAAACACTGGATTCGTCTATACCAAATATGCGAGTCTTGCCTCAGGTAAGCTTCACGAGTGTCATGCAAAAATGTCTGCAGCATGGTTCGTTTGCGAAGCTTGGAAGCCTGTTTAGATGCCCGGCTCATTTTCAAGAAGGCTACAGTGTGGCGCCAGGCATGGAACATGCGGTGTGGCCAAGTCCCATGGGTGTTACGGCTAAGATGGTAATGATTCCACATACAGGTTGCAAATGACTGCCACGCTTGGTCGCCTGCAAGCTTCGGCATAACCACCGAAGAGGGCGGATGCCGTTTGGTGATTATCCGCGCGTCCTGCGCAAGGCAGCTCAAAGCATCAGCCAATGTGGCAGCTGCAGCAACTCTGCTGCGAAGGTCCCGCACAACTGTTTGTGCAGCATCCGTTTTGGCAAGAGCAACCTCTCGAAGGGCGGCACGAGAATTCATTGTAAAGTCTTGTGACAGGTCGGCCGTCTTAGAGTATCCACGTCCCTTAGGAACCGAAGCACAAAGGGGCCTATGATACGTCCCGCTGCGGTGCAAATCATGTGGCGACCTGATCTCAACCTCCGGGCGGCGACTTACAGCGTCTGCAAAGCGTCTGCGAAGGCAAATGAAATCAATGCGAGTTGCAGCCTCAACGCCTGGCCTCACTGGACCTGTAAAGGTTGGCTGCCAAGGCAGGCTGGCATTCAGGGCGACCAGGCTGTGTCTTACCAAGACCTGCAGGAGATCATCGCTATCCGCACGGAGGGCCCCTGAGCTCCGATTTTGAGGAGCAGACGTTTGCACGTAGCCCGGCCTCTGCGGAAGGTCCGTGTTGAAGTCGCCTGCACAAATCAACATCTGTCCCACAGGACAAGCCTGAAGAGTGGCCTCAAGCTTACGGATCCACTTGGATCGTTTCTCCAAGGTGGCTGGTACATGCTGTTGCGTCCATGCATGCTGGTAGCAGGCTACTATGTGCACTGGGTTCCGCAGGTGCAGCTTGACATGTACCATGCGTCCTGGCATGCAGCAGTGCCAGGAGATCCGATTGGCATCAGCTACGGTTTTACGAACCATAATCAGAATTCCAGCATACGGCGCATGAGTATGCATGCACACAAAGCTTTTAGTCAGCCATTCAGACTCAAAGGCCTTCCTAGTTTCAGTGACGATCAAAACATCATGCTTAACCTCAGGTCGCTCCGTCCAGGACATAAACGAATTATAATCCAACCCTCCCGCGTTGTACGTGTAGATCCTAAGTCTGGCCCCTCTACGCTCAGCATTCCTGGCAGACCGCTGTGATGCGGACGTGTGAGGTGCAGTATCCTGCATGCTAGCTCGGCGATGCATGCGGCGCAGTGTGCGCTTGCGAACTGCATTGCGGCGAGGCTGCTGCTGAAGATCAAGGTCAGGAGCACACCCCAAGGCATACAGACCTGCCTCGTGCCGATATAGAGCTTCTGGAAGATGTACGCCGGAGACCTGTGGCACGCCAAGGCTCAGACTGGCAGTCAGAAATACGACGGTAGGAATGCAGTGACCGGACCTGGGTGGGCCAATGATCAACAGCAGGAGCCATAGGAGAGCTGAGCGTGAGGCATCTGCGCAGTCTTCTACGGTGCTTGTTGCCTTGCTCGGGCCTAACCCGTGATTAGCTAGTGAGCTCTGCGCGCAGGCCTCGTTGAGGATGTATGTGTTACGAGTGGTGTGCACGGTGGCATGTTCAGCCAACCCTTGGCCGAAGCCTCTCGATGTCACCTGTCTGACGCTAGGCTTCGCATCTTGAGCTACTTGCCTGGGAGCACATATGGCTCTCTCCTGGGTCGCGCCTCCCCAGGAAACCCTCACTTCGGCGGGAATCATCCCGCCCCCGGACTTGGGACCGGGCAGCTCGATGATATCATGGAGTGTTGATTGCTGGTCAGCAAAGCGGTGCTGAAGGATGCACGGTACCCACTGTAAAGCATGATGCATTGATGTGTTAGTTGCGAACGCAGTAAGCAGTTGTATCTGTGCGCTCCGAATCATGTATGCGTTTACTAAGGTATCCCAATCAGCACCTGAGCGGTATTCTGAAGGCATGTGGCACGGCAATCCGCGCCTACGAAGTGTATCCGGTGCTTCGGTCATGAGGCGATCTCTGCAATGCATGCCTGTTGCTTTCATTTGCAGCAGTATCTGTGGCGCAGCATCCTTTACGGCCACATAGTTAATGCAAGCGAAGAGAATCATCCGGGAGGCCATTGGGTGCAGAACGAGGACAGCCACGTTCTCGTCCGGCTAGTCCGGGAACTGCACGCTAGCTACAGGCCCACCACCTCAGAACTACCGACACTCTGCACTCGAGCCGGAAGCATTCTTGAACATGTAGCTCATGTCGGTAACCGCCGAGGTGTCCCAGGAACCGATGGGCTGATTGAAGGAAGTGGCATCCTCAAACATGTAGCTCATGTCAATCACCGCCGACGTGTTCCAGGAACCGATTGGCTGGTTGAAGGAGAGAGCATACTTGAACATGTAGCTCATGTCGATCACCGCCGAAGTGTTCCAGGAGCTAATGTCGGCATTGAAGCGGTACATGTTCTGAAACAGGCTGCTCATGTTGGTTACCGAGGCGACGTTCCAGTCAGCGATGACGCCGTACTGTCTCTCGACCTGGACTCACCGAGACCGGTTCCTAAACCACTAAACCAAAGACATCAACGTGCGACCCCCTAACCCCTACCCCAGACCTCGGCGCGTGAAGGCTCATGCCCGTTCCAGAAATGAAGAGCTTTCACGAGCTCCCGTCGGTCGTGGAAGACACGGAAGCAGCCTCCAGGCACCTGGGACAGGTACACAAAACGGGCTACCATAAAAAGGTTACTACAAGGCTGGCTATACCCAGATGTTCCACTAGAGACGAATTAAGGAAAGCCTCTTAAGTCATACGAATAAGGATCCTCTTGTGGTTTAGTTCCACTAGAGACTAATTAAGGAAAGCCTCATAAGTCATACTAATAAGGATCCTCTTATGCTTGTAGGGTACAATCCCTGATCACAAACCCTAAGGGTCCATGTACCCAAATAGTAGATACTTTGGTTTGAATGTAGTCCCTATATCGGTACTTTAGGGCCAATGTATATACTAGTTGGGTACCTGGACCCTTAGGGAGACAGGGGCCAGCTGGAGCGACTCAATCCTCTGCAAACACTTGAGGGGAGCCTCTCGGGAGCTAGACATAAGGTGTCAGAGCTTCGGGCTTATAGGGTTTAGGGTCTAGGGTCTAGGGTTTAGGGTTTAGGGTTTAGGGTTAAGGATCTCTGCTAAGTGTTATGAACCTGTTTTTGGGGGGTTTAGGCTGCAGGGTTGTGCATCAGATAGCTCTAGCTGTAACCGAATACGACCTGGCGTGGGGGCCTGACAGTTCTACTTGTAGCTACCCAGCACCAGGAACCCACAAGGAGAGCGGTTTAGGGTTAGGGTTTCGGGACCTAAAAAATGATCAAAAGCTGTTTTGGCTTCGTCGAGGCGCAGGGAGCAGCAACAGGGCGAGGATGTGCAAGGTCCCCGGCATATGTCTACAGCGTCTGAGGGAACCCATATGCAACCTAAACTCGCGCTGAGGTCTGCAGGAGGCACTCTTGAAGGCCTAGCCCTTGAACTCTCATAGCCTACTTTTTGTAGGCTGTTTCTATACATAAACCCGAGTTCTAAAATTCCTAGGGAACCTATAACAAAGGAGGGCTTATTGTGGCTCCAGGCAGGGTTGCAACGGTGGATTGGAGGTGAGCGTGCTGAGCCGGTAACCTGCGGAATGTGGGAGTCTGCCCACTCTGACTAGCGAAGGCACACACATACAGTATAAATACACTCTGTATATACACACACATACAAACACACATATATCTATATATATATATATATACACATGCGCACACACACATACACATATATATATATATATATGAGCCTTGAACATTGGATCAGGTTTCGGGGTCTATGATTGTGCAGTTGTGTTATCTATATCTATCGATCGGTCGATCGATCTATCTATCTATCTATCTATCTATCGGCTATAACGGGAAAAGATTTGCAACTATTACTGCATAAGGCCTCTATAACCCTTGCAACATGCTCACTGAGAGAACACGCCTCGTCTCCCACGATGTCGTCAGAGCTGATGTGGCAACGGAGATGCCGCGCAGCGTCAGCCGCGGGAAAGATGTAGCGGATATAGAATGTAGGGTTTAGGGTTTAGGGTTTAGGGTTTGTGAGGCTCGGGTGTGTGCCGGAAGGCTTCAAGCGAGGCGTGAAGATGGTTGGTAAGGAGTGAAGCTGTCCGATTGCACGAATGCCTGCTCTTCCTCTGCTTCTTGTTCAGAATGTGGAGGAAAGGCGTACCATTGTCATCGCTCCTAATGGGATTCCATATGGACTCACTACACTGTAACACAGGTGCGTTGATTGCATAGGGTTGGTGTCAGTTCGATTGCAGTCATGGGAGTTGAGCAGGATTGTCCAGTACTGCAAACTACTATGGCTTTTAACACTAGCCTCTGCAGTACAAGCTCATCTCACCCTGGATCCTAGCATGAATCTAAACCCTGTCAACTCTGAAACCTGAAACATCGACGGGACCCCACAACTCGAACGGCTTCGGTTCTAGATCCGCCAGAAGTCACTTCAAACGCAAACCGGAAAAGCGGAAAGGAAATCCATGAACAAGCTAAACCCTACACCGTAACTTTCTGCCGTTGCAGGTGGCTTCTCGCCACGACGTTCGCACCCAAAGCCTGCGAAGTCTGTTGGTAAGTGGAAATCAACTCATTACCTACATGCTAGGTTGCTCTGCTACGGTTATATTAACGTATTCTAAGGATCTGAAGACGGTAGCACTCTGCAAAGACAGCCTGGGCTTCTAAGGAAAAGCCGAAGTGCTTGGAGCTCAGCCCAGGGTATTCTCAAGACACACGCCCATAGTCTCCATTGTAGGTAATTACGTGCTTACAGATTAGGGGGTGCTGTTAATACCGCATGACTCCTAGATGGCCCAATGGACACCAGCACGGTGGTAGTGTTAGCCGATTCTAGATCCACCGCATCCGGTCCAGTCCGAAGGATTGCATTCGGGCTGACTTCTCCGATGTACACTCATGGGTTCGCAATCTCAGGTCTCGTGAATTCCGAATCTAAATGCATGTAACGTAGAAGCTATAGCAACCAGAAATGCTATTTGTTATGGTATAAGTCTTCTGACCATGCCTAAACATAGTTTATGTACCTGCATCCTGTTCCACTTATGTTAAGGCCCATGCATTGCATCTTCCATTTGCCTTGAGACCCTAAACCGCTGGAGCTTCAAATTCGAAAGCCCTTTTTGAGTCGCAATGTAGAAGGGCGAGGATTGCAAGAAACCAGCGGACAACACGAGGCTGCATGGTCTCAGGTGTTGTTTGGCGGAGTGCGAACATGGAGGCCACTGAATCGAGGCTTTCCGGACGTGATTTCACGTACACCGCAGACTCCCCGGACTTTTAGTGTCTTCATATTAGGATCAAACCTTGGAAGAGGTGGTGGGGTTGGATTGCAGGAACGTTTGGATCCCAAAGACGGCGAATTTGGGGTTTAGGGCTTGGGGTTTTGCTCTGGTGGAAGCACACGGGATGTGTTTTCATGTGCTTCAAGCACAGTTGGCAGAGACTCGACTGCCCGAATGGCGTAGGCTTAAGGCAAACCTTAGGCCTACTTTGTCATTATGTAATTATATGAAATTATATGCCTTGTTAGACCATAAGACTGAAGCCTCACTGGCTTAAGCCAGTTTGAGATCCTGTATCTAACAAAAGCCCACTGTCGGCACATGAGATCTGGATAGATCTGGATAGAGGCACCCCATATACAGAAGCTTACAAGTAAAAAAACCAATGAGGTAGCGATCTCCTGGTGAATCTTAGAAGCTTCTGCACATGGCCTGTGAAATAACAAGTTTCTGCTCATATCCTTGTGAACAAGTAGACTACCTAGACCCTCCATCTATCCTCTTTTAGCCTTTAAATATCCAGTATTTGGGACCACATGCCCCTATTGGAGGGGCAAGGCGGGTCCTGGTAGGCTCGTCTTGCTTTCGGTCTTTCGGTGCCCGAGCAAAAAAACTCTAGATCTCAAGAGTTTACTCTTAGCAACCATAATTACCGCCAGTTTGGTTTCGGAGTTTGGGCTAAGGTTTAGGGTTGTTGCGTTATGTAGTGTTCTAAGTATGATAACCCTAGTCAGCGTACTATCAAATACTTCTTTTTACAGCCATCTTACTTAGTGCCCTTATCCTTTTGGAGACATAAGGAGCCTTGATTGGAGAATAGGTTTTTGGGGCACCCTACTATGCACTTGAAAACGGGGTTTTGGGATACCTTACTGTACAGTTAATAGTTAAGCAAGAAGGAATGAAGCTCGTAGTTAAGTGCCTCTAAAACCTTTTCAAACTGACTCTACAAAGTCCCTAAACCCTATAAACCCTAAACCGAATTTTCACGTCTTGGCGCTGCCTCCGAGGCATGTAGCGCCTGGGCCCAAAGTCCGCCTGCGGGGTTTCATGCACTCAGAAGCCTCGAGGTTTAGGGTTTAGGGTTAGGGTTCAGGGGTTTAGGGGTATAGGGGTTTAGGGTTTAGGGTTTAGGGGTTTAGGGTTTAGGGTTTATAACCCTTAAATACCCTTAACCCCAAACCTGCGTATTTTTGGCTTAAGGCTTTAGGGATCTATTCCGGTTTAGGGCTTGAAGTCGATAGGGTTCTATCTAAGACCGGGTTCTACTTATTCAGGGATCTAGAATCATTGTAGTATGCTTATATAATATATATATATATATATATAGGGTCATGACTCATGTAATGTGGGTCTACAGGTCTGATACAGGTGCTACAGGGGTTATATAAGAAATCTAAGGTAAACTACAGCAGAAGGGTTTCGGGGAGGATCAAGAGTATAGCTATACCAGGACCAGAAGTCTTATAAAGCCCAGGAGACATCACTACCAATTGTGCCCAGTCCTCTGAGGAAAACTGTAGGGCCCTGTCGGATGGAGGTAGGGGTTATGGTCAGGGTTTAGTGTACTTGGGTACTGAATGGTAGCTCTCTATAGTGGACTTCATGGGCTGCGGGACTACTTAGAGGCCCAGGGGACTTACCTAAGTCGTCGGTTATAAGTAAGGTAATAAGTAGGGTAACTCCAGTTAGAGTACTTATAACTCTACTTATAACCTACTTACTAAGTCCCCTGGGCCTCCAAGTAGGATTGAGGGATTTGAGGCTCACAGGTCGTTTAGTCCCAGGCTTTCGTGAGATCAGGGAGCGGAGTGTTCGTATCGAGGGCTGGGTTCAAAACTCTCCGGATCCTTCACCCTGCAGGCTGTAGACGTCTGAATTCGTTAAAGCCGTTCCCTTGGGTACCCGGAACCTTACTGCCCCCGAATTGCCTCCTCAATGCCCACAGAAGACAGAAAACCCGAACCTTCTCTGTCGATAGGGCCCAGTGCCGGTAGACGACTAGATGGTTGGGCTATGATGTTCGTCGTATGGCTGCAATCTTGGAAGGCTGTCCATCTGCTGACCCGAAGGGTCCTAGGTACCGTTATGGGGGATACGTCCCTAAATCAGAATAGTAATTCCTGAAATTGAAGCCCTACACCCTACTATGCAGGCACTTAGGACCCTTTGGGTGACTTGCCTTCCGGAAGCTGGGGGCTCGGAGTCTCCGGGAGTTTAAGCGATGCTTGGCAGACCCAATTCTGAGAGGCCCGGTTTCTCAACCAGAGGCGCGACTTGATACCCAGTCGCAGAAGGAGGAATGGGTTTAGGGTGTAGGGTTTAGGGTTTAGGGTTTAGGAGACGACTTGAAAGAAAAGAGGCCAGAACAGGAGCCTGCGACACCATGCCCTCTAGGAGATGCCCATGGCACGAAGACCGGAATCCTGGGTTTATAGGGTTTATAGGGCTTTTGGGGTTTATAGGGTTTAGGGTTTATAGGGCTTATAGGGCTTATAGGGCTTACAGGGTTTATAGGGCTTAGGGTTTATAGGGTTTGGGGTTTAGGAGCCCTACCACCACCGAAAGCCGCCTGACTGCGATGCCGTCACGGCCCCGGTTCGGCTAACCTGCAAGGCCGCAAGGGAAACCATCAAACCCAAAAGGTTTAGGGTTTAGGGTTCAGGACTCAGGACTGAAAACCCGAAGGTTTAGGGTTTAGGGTTTAGGGTGAGGGTTTAGGGTTATGATGAATTAGGGTTAGAGTTTAGCGTTTACGGGTTAGCGGCTAGGGTTTAGGGTTAGGGTTTAGGGTTTGTAGGGTTGGGGTTTAGGGTTTAGGCCTGAAATCCCAAGCTCCAGACTCAAGTGCCAGAAGGCGGGGAAGAACAGGAGCACTTCTGGCCCAATCACCCCATCCTACAAACCACAAAGGGTCCAAGTACCATTATAGTAAGTACTTAGTAGGTATTTGGGCCCCAAGAGTATATACTATACTAGTACTTGGACCCTTTGGGAACCCTCAAACCCAAAACGAAAACCTGTGCTATTGCGGTAGGGCTGAAGGGCTGAAGGGAAATTATGGCCGTAACAAAACCTACCACGGCAGTTTTAACAATTTCATTCTTGATGATCTTCCATCTGCAGCCTAAAGAGACGGATTTCTCCAAGATCTTTCATGCCCGCAGCAGCCATCACTACAGGGGTCTAGGCCTTTAAGGGTTTTTCAGATCGCAGCAGTCGGGCAGAGGTTTCAGCTTAACCACGGAGAACTACCTTAACGTAGTCCCCAAAGCTTAATTTTTCTGCCGTCTGAGGTGTTGAACCGAAAAGTTCACAACATGCATACCAGTTGTGACCGGAATATCTAGGCCCCCAACCAGAAGACCCAGAATCCAAAACAACTAGACACTGAAAGATATACTTCGAGTTCGCACATCATACCCAACCCTGCCAAGCCCAAACTGGGCTAAACCCTAAAGCACGATCACCATGTAACATACCTATCCGATTTTTTTGGGGTGAGGTCCTTATTATAAGTATAGTATAATGTACCCGAAAACCCTGTTTTAATTATAAAGGCCCCTATATCAAATCCCAAAGTCCGCTTCGGGCTGCTTCGGAGCGGCTTCATCAGGGCGATGCTGGGATGCGGCCAACTCGGCCAAGAGCCTCGATAAGACATCTTCCACGGATTTAGGGTTTTGCTTTAGAGGTTTCGGGGCTTCGGGCTTAGGGTTTAGGGTAGTTTGGTTTAGAGATTTAAAGAGTTTAGAAGCATAACACGTTCTGTTCTGTTCGAGGGGTTCGAAGCTCAGTGGGTGGGGCTGCGGGCTTGCGGTTCACGAGCCACAGTGCCTTTGGGCACAAGGGTTTGAGGCTTTAGGCTTGCGATTTGGGAGCTGCGGCTCTTGGCAGGACGAACCCTAAAACCGAACTGCACTGAGCTCTGAACCCAACAGCTTTTATGCTGCAACGCCGGACATGAAGTTACCATAGAAGCCAAAAATCTGACAATGCTTGGCAACACTGTTCTTTTTGCGGCTCCTTCTGCTGAGTGTAGTTCCAACCATTAAGGCACCGATGTTAAGCATCTCTGTGCCACGGTGCATCAAAGACCACTGCCAGGCGCCGCCTTCGTGATTAAGGTTTAGGGTTTAGGGTTTAGGGTTTAGGGTTTAGGGTTTAGGGTTTAGGGTTTAGGGTTTGGGGTTTAGGGTTTAGGGTTTGGGGTTTAGGGTTTGGGGTGTAGGGGTCGTCGCGTCTCAGATCTGGTACCCTCAAACCCTAAACCCGAAACTCCCTAAACCCTAAACCCTTCGTAACCCCCGAAACCCCCTAAACCCTAAACCCGAAACCCCCGAAACCCATCGAAACCCCCTAAACCCTAAACTGTTAACGGTATAACCCTTGAAGGCTCTGAGCTGCTCTTCAAGATGAAGGAGGTCCTGGCTGCAACTGCCTGCTGCGCATGGCTGCAAAAAGGATACCTCCACAACAACCCGAGCCTTTTGTGATGGGGATGAGGCGGATATGAACATGATGATGGCGATGGTGATGGTGATGCCTCAAGGAGGCTCGCAGCAGGAGGCTGCAGCTCCAAACCAGCGCCCAAGGCTTTCAAGACGGCAAAAAGGGTTGGGGGTTGGGGTTTAGGATGCTTTAGGGCTAAGGGGTTTGTGCGGCCCACTCCTCCTTCGCAAGCGCTGCTGGCCGCGTTGAAGGACACAAGGCCTGAGACAAGTCAATGCTTTTTCGAGGGTGTTAGGCACAGAAGAAATCCTCCTCCAATCTGCACTTTCCGGTTGCACTAGTTCCTCTAATTCAAAAAGTAGTGCATCCGTTGCTTCAGAATTGCCAGATAGCATATCCCACTACTTAGGTCTTCAGGCTCTGTCTTGTTCGCTCATTTTCGGAAGCTGCGATAGCACTGAGGCCACGGCTGCTGCGCAGGCCGCGCAGGCGGAGGAGGCGAAGGAGGCCTCCGGCACCTCGCCATTGGCCTCCTCTGCCACAGGCCTTTGCTTTGTGTGGCGGCTTTCTGAAAATAGTGGATGAAGGTAGCAGGTCTAGGGTGTAGACTGTGTAGAGGGTGATGAATTCTCTCGGACTTGAGGCCTGTTGCCGAGTTTCCTGCATGAGGGTTTACGTAGACCCTAGACCCTTGTTGAGTAACCCTGCTGTTATGGTTAGGAAGTTAGGATCCTGCAAGAATGAACTGGGCTCACCAAAACAAAATGTACTGCAGCTTAGGGTTTATAAGCAAAGGATAAAGGTTTGCAGGTCATTTGGGTGTCGGAAGATGCAGCAGCGACCTGTATCTACCGAAGATTGCAGGACGCTCTTCTTGGGCGGTGCATGATATGGCAGGCAGATTGCATGATGACGTCTTTGTACAGCAACCCGAGCAAGACTCGCAACGTCGTCGGGTTGTTGCGGGGCTTGCTGCGACTGAGAAGGTGCTCGCAGATATGAACCTTTGCCTGGCCCAAGTGATTATCTGGTAGGACAACCCTGTCGCGAGGCAGACTAGCTGAAGGAAGTGTAGTCTATGACTGAATCAACAGCGTGAAGGCAGACAGGGTTTTTAGATTCCGTCGCTGATTGCCCTCATGAACATGGGAGGTGGTTCTCAACTATAAAGTAACAAATCTCCAACTACCACCAAAACTACTTGAAGGGCCATCTGGACCTAGAACACCCTGAACCCTGAAGACTCACACCCTTGTCAGTGCAGGAAGGAACAACCGAAGCCGCCGGGCCACCGTGATGACGACATTGTAGTCGATGATGCTCGCATGCAGACGTGCATGGTTGGCAGCTGAGAGCCTTTCCAAGCCAGCGGGCGGAAGCTACAGTGGGTCCCTCGACCCCCGCACCTTACTAGCTATCCACCATCATAGCACGAATACATAGATGCACCAACATTGGTTGCTTTGAGGGCGCAATCTGTAGGGTACCTTGGGAGAGCCCAAAGGCCTGGAGCAACGAGATCCGGTCTCTGAGCCCGAAGCTGTTGAGGGGTTCTTAACGTTCGGGTCTACGGAAGTCGCAAGCCCGAAACGCCTCAAGGGTTTAGGGTTAAGGGCTTAAGGGGCTTTTTAGGGTTTGGGGTTTATTGGGGTTAAGGGTTTAGGGTTTCTGATCTTTGGTGCATCTCTGACACCGAATTTCGGCGTAGACCCAAACGTACTGCAACCTGCTTGAACAGAAGGGCCCACAAGCCTGCCAAGTCTACAGGGTCGAAGATCTAGGGTGCCTAGGATTTAAATTTATGGTCCTGAACTCCTACACTATCAACCCCATGACCCGCCCTTCCGAAAAAAATCAAGTCTGGCCATGTAGCAAGTGCAAAACCTGATTCCACTCGTCGCCATGCTGTGCGACAACGGCATAGCCACGCATGTAGGGCAGCCATGGCTCTCTTCTAAGACGATCTTATATGGATTCATGGCAGGTTGTATAAGGGTCTCGTGCAAGGGTTCCCATAAGGGTCTCGTGCACGAGTTCTATCGGGCTTACAAGTGGTTTTTGAGGGTTGCATCAGGGGTTTACAAGGTTTTTGGGAAAACCGTTTAATTAAATCTAAACATGTAGGGCTTCATGTTTCAATGGTAGCCTGCGAGGTTTAGGATGATGAGAGTGCGGATTGAGGCTCAGGATCTTAGGCTAACGGCCTATGACTGTCGGAATTCACGACAGGCCGAAATATTGCAAACGATCGTCTTTAAAGTAGGGCGGGGGGTGCAGCCGTCCGAGGTCTACGTTCGTTTCTACTCGCAAGGCGGACTCGTGCACAGAATTGCGAGGGGATCCTGCCGAATGGTTCCCGGTCGCTAGGCACAGCCAGAACCATAGACGCGGCGTCGTAGTTACAGTACGGGCTTTGGGGTATACCATCGCATAAATATGAAATAAACACGCGTATGTGTGTATAGTGTGTATAGACCCTAAGGAATGCCCCTGCAGATGACGTGGAGTCTAAAATCCCCGAGTGCTCGGGTTTGTCTGCAACGCCCTGTTAAGGTGTAAGGTTCCTGTACTTCTAGGACCCAAACCCCAACACGTCAAAGTCGAACAAAGCTCCAAGCCCGAAATCCGAAAGCCCTAGCACTAAGGGTGCATGTACTCATGTCCCATATACTCGTGCCTTCAAGTGGTCCCTATTGAAACACTTCGGGGCCCAAGTATAGACTGCAGGGGTGCGTGGACCCCTATAATATTATGCCCTAAACCCTTCATGGTAAACCCTAAACCCTAAACCCTAAACCCTAAACCCTACCCTTATAGAATCCTTAAATGAACTCTGGAGGCTCCTGCCGGGAGCTTGACGAAGGGATGTGCAGCTTAGGGTTTAGGGTTTAGGGTTTAGGGTTTAGGGTTTAGGGCAGCTTTTATGGTATCCTCTGATGTTTTGCAAGGGCGTTGAGTGCATCTGCAACGTTCAATGCTGATGGCTTAGGCTTGCTGCATCATGTTCAGTGGTTTCTACAGCAGCCTGGCTGACTTCTGAACCCCTCCTGAAAGTTAAGCTTTTCGCCTACGTACTATAGCTCATAATATAGGAACCCAACAAGTTAAAGTCCTAAGAGCCAAGCAGAAGAAAGCCAAGACAGCATTGGAGATGCATAGAGACGTTGCCCGGCGGATCGGACAAACGAGGAAAGCCTTGTTATATTAGGGGTTTAGGGCTTAGGGCTTAAGGCTTAGGGTTTAGGGTTTTGGGTTTAGGGCTTAGGGTTTAGGGCTTAGGGTTTAGGGGCTCAGGACTGTCCAGGTTTTGACCTTGCGCAAGGCGAGGCATGTTGACCTTCAGTCGGGCGAGGATCGCTGTGCTGACCTTGGCCATGGTGGTGACGGTGGGTTTCGGTTTTTAGAGTTTAGGGTTTTAGGGTTGAGGTGCTGAAGGGAGGGGTCTGCAGAGGCACCGGGTGTTGACAGGTTAAAGGCCATGGCAGCAAAGCGAATTGAAGTCGAAATGTTTTACACACACCACGCAGACGCAAAGCTGTTTGTGCCTTGCAAGTTCGACTGCTCTACTCTCTGTGCTCTGCACTAGAATCTGAGTCATGCGCAGCGATGCCTTTCGAGGAGCCACCAAGGCTCTGGCACGAAACAAGTTAACTGAACATGGGCCAGCAGTGAGGTTCCAACACTCCTCCTTGCCCGAGAGCAATCTTAAGGGCATCACCTCACTTCTTTACACATGCTGGCCACTGGCTAAGTTTATCGTTCCCTTAAGGATCGGCCGTGATTATCACGGCAACACTGGCAAAAGCGAACTGGACGCCCCCTCGAATTCCTCAAACCCCAGCAGTTCTCGAAAGTATGGTAGGTATCTCCGGTCGGACTCACATAGAGTGGGTGGTTCCAACCTGCTGGGTCTGGAACTGGGACAGGAACTTCTCGATCCTGGTAGCAAATCAGAGGCCTTGAGTCCAACTGGGTCCCAACCTCCTGGGTGCTCCGTCCAGAACTCATCATTGTAGATCGCCTCGAAGCCCTTATAGGCAACCCCTGCGCTGGAGTAGGAGGCGGGGTAGCTGATCTCGCCGCTGTAGGCCTTGTCGTAGGCGAGGGAAAGAGTGTTCTCGCAGTAGGCGGTGCCGACGGTAAAGGCGTAGTTGCCGGGGAAGGTGAAGCCGAAGGTGCCCTTGGGGTAGACGAGGGTGAAGGTCGTGGTAGACTCCTGGTATGGTCGGCCGGTGTGGCCGCCGAGGGTGATGGAGTCGCCCTCTCATGCATTTGAGAGTCAATCTCCCGTTGAATGGTCTCACGTAGGTTCCGCAATCTCCTCGCAGACCGTGAGGGTCGTACTTCACCGCAGCAGTGATCAACACACCACCACAATATCTCCCACACAGCCACCACAGCGATGCCGAGAATGATCACCATCACATAGACATCAAACGACGCATTGAGAGCCAGGGGTTCATCTCCTTCTTGAGCTCGAGTAGTCTGGATCATCATGCACATAACCATCATCTTCACCATCGACTTCTTGGCAGCCTCGGCAATCAAGTCGACGAATCCCCATATTCCAACCAGTTCCTCCAGCCTCTGGCGAGGGAACGACTTTGTAAGCAAGTCAGCCCATTGATGCCTTCCCTGCACGTAAGTCACTGCTACTTCACCGCTTTCCACTTGTTCATGAATGAAAGAAGCACGTACTCGCAAGTGACGTGTTCTCCACGAGGACGAGGAGGTAGGCTTGGCTATAGTGATCGCAGCCTGGTTGTCAATCTTGAGGGAAATCTTTTGCGTCTTTTCCATCTGGTCGATGACCGATTGAATACTTTTGCCCATTACCAAGCCCTCGGTGGCAGCAAGTAGCTCACATTCCGCCGTACTCAAACAAGTGAAAGGCTGTCTCGCCGACCTCCAGCACACTGGAGCCCCCAGCCAAACCGCAACTAGTCCAGAGTGGCTCTTAGCTCCGCTTGGAGCGAAGGAGCTGTCTGTGAAGATTGTAAGATCGGCTCCCGTAGGTTGCAAGGCCAGGGCCAGGTTCCTGGTGCGCTGCAAGTAGGATCGCAGTCGTTGTGCGATGCTCAAACATCGCGGGGCAGCACGAGTCAACAACGATCCCATGGCGCTCACAACGTAAGCGATATCTGGCCTACTGCGCTGCGCCAACCAGAGCAATTCGCCACAGGCCCGTTGGGCCTGTTTGATCTCCTCCTCACTTCCGGCAGGTTCCCCATCGAAGGCCTCGAAGGTGACCATCTCCTTTGGCGCCTGTATATAGGATTGTTCCATCTCCGGGGTGCCGTGGTGGCGAAGGATCTCCTCTATGTAGGGGCGCTGGTGGACATAAATCGCGTCGTAGTCCTCACTCCGCAATCTCGCACCCAAGGAACCTAATCTCATGACTAGGGTCCAGCAGCTCAAGGTCAGAGGCCTTCCAAACACCTCGAATAGCAGCTGATACCGCTTGAACCATCCACAGTGGCCCTGACACCAAGATGTCGTCGACATACACCAGAATGAGTCCCTCTGGGGACTGTTCGGTGGGTGCGCCAACTTCGTACACCAGCCACATGTTCGGCTCAGCGACTCCTTTACGTAGCGCCCACCTTCTTCCTTGGTCTTCCAGGACGATCTTCTGCATTTCACCATCACGATAAGTCGACCAGAGCTTCGGGCTTTGACGAAGGCCATACATTCCATGAGTCAACATCCAGCGCTCATTCTCCTCAGCCAGGCCCAGGAGGATCAACACCGCCGGGGGCCGGATGATATAGGTGATTTGGCCTGGACCTCCTGGCAAGGGGGTGAGCATAAACGCGCCCGTCACATCAGTGATTCCAGATCTCCACCGTCTTTTCGCTGTGTATGTCAATGCACAGCGCAAACTCTCAGCTGCTGCTCCGCCAGCATACAGCTCGCCTGGATCTTCCGAGGCGAAGTTCCCGCAACATACCACCCGAGCCTTTCTTTTACAGTACTTGGCTTCACCAACCTGGGCAGCATCATCCGAGGGTGGCTTTACCGTGTAGACGAGCTTCGACGGTAGCTCCTGGACCACACCCCTCTCCTTGAGAGCGGCCACATCCTTAGCCGTGATCCTTTTGAACCCACGCTCCACAACCCCAACTTCTTTTGTAATTGCTGGCTTCCAGCTGTGGATTGCTGCCTTAGCCTCATGAGGGCTCACGTTGTAGGTATGACGTAGAGGAGTCTCAGTCTGCACAGCATTGGCGATGATGGTTTCAATGCCCTCTACATACTCAGGCTCGAGCTTGGCAATGCTGGGACTCTCATACAAGCCCAACGAGGCCCAATACTCCACATTCTCAGCCACATCATCCTGGTAGTGAGCCGCGGTGTTATCCTCCTCAAACGAGTTCGGAGCCACTTTCATCTTCAACAACTCAGCACCAGGATCATCTGAACTGCACACCCTTCGAAGGTACACAGCTTGGCCAGAAGGTACGCTCTCCTCCTCAAGCTCGGTTTCAACATAGATCCCCCAATCCCAAACTGTGGCTTCATTCCCGTTGGCGGTAGCACCTTCCACATCATCTCGCCCATCATGGGATCCACCCAATGACCGCTCTGAAGGAAAGGAAAGAGCCTTTAGCACCGGTCTGGTTTCCAGTGCCCCGTCAACATATTCTTCACCAGAATCAACTGTAGCCAAGGGAAACATGAGGGAGCTCAAGTAGTTCTGATCCACCTCATTCAACTTGTAGGCACCATGCGGGGTGTAGGCTGAGAGGAACCACTTCAAGCCGTTCCCTTTCACGTAAGCATGGGGCACCAACGGATCAAACACCGCCGGCTGAGAAGTTACATCCACCAAACAACCATCATAGGTCTTGCCATCCGTGCCCTCATACTGAAAATCCTCTGGGCTCGTTCCCCCCACAACCTGGTGCTCATGACCTCTGTCTTGAACCCAAAGGCCTTCAACGGACTCCGTTCGAATCTCGCTCACATAGTTGTAGGTGCCGCGCTGGTTGTGGCTGTCCTTGTGCTTGGGCACTTCCTCCGCCGCTTGGAGGGCCAAAGTAGTCCAACTGTAGTCCATGGAGGGCCACGACTGTTCCAGCCGTCGGCGCAGGTAGTAATTGAAGTAGGACGCCACCCAAGGGAGATCCCGACCATACCTTGTGATTCCAAATGCCCCTCCATGAACGTAGGCGCCCAACACCATACCCTTGCCACCTGTAGCTCGGGGAACCCTGAGGTTGCCACACGTACCAGCCACCAACGCCAACAACCGAGCTGCATCCGCTTCCGAAAACTTGTCCTCCTGACAAAGTTGTTGAGCCATCCTCTCAACATATTGAATTTCTCCAAGACGCAAGTACTTCACGTGAGCCTCACCCTCCTCATAGGAATCGTCATCCCTGGGTACATCATACAGCACCTCATAGTCGGGAAAGAAACCATCCACCCTTTTGATCACTGGCCTCTTGGCTCTCACACGACGAAGGGGCGGAGGTAGAGGTGGCGGTGGTAGCGGAGGTTCATCTTCATGATCTTTTGCAACATCCTCTGATTCCACCACAACAGTAGGAACCACCTCATCCAACAAAGGCGGATCCTTTGTAACTCTAACATGCGTCGTCTGAATGAAGGTGCCAGAGTCCTTAAGGATGACATGGCCAGTTCGGATATCCGTAGATGGGCCCACGTAGCGCCCTCGTGTCCAATGAGGCCCAAAGTCTTCCACAGCACCCGTTTTGTAGCGCTTGGTCTTCACGTAGACGCGTGCTCCATAAGCCACGGGCATCCGGGGCAAAGTTCCGAGCTGTTCTGCTCGCTGCTGGCTCGCCGCATACTGAACCGCCGTTGGCCAGTTCGACCTGTCAAGCCCAGCACTGTCCAGCAGGATCCTAGCTCTGCGTTTGAGGAACCGGACTCCAGCCTCGGCAACGCCGTTTGCCGCCGAATCCGAACCAGTAGTCGTTGTAGGCCACATTCCTTGAGAGAGGGCCCAGCGTCTAACAAGATGGCCTCGAAACTCACCACCTCGATCTGAGTGCAGTCTCGTCACGGGAAAACCCAAGGCCTTCACCTCCGAAACCATACGCTGCACCGCCGGTAACATTGAGCTCGCCCTCTTATTGGTTACGGGAACCGCAAAGTACAACGTGGTAGTAGACAAAGGCTCCTTGAAAGATGCCACCAGCTTTTTCCACTTGTCCTCTTCATCCGCAACCTCTTCCGGGCTCAACCCCACATACTCTTTGGCCTCGTCAAACTCCTCCGGCTCGTCCTCGGAAATCTGATCTTGATCATCTTCTGGTGGTAGGTCCGGGATTGGGTGACCCCGAGCCTCTGCATGTCCTTCTCCTCCTTCAACCTTGGGAATTCTCATAGCTCCAATCACAAAGTACTTGAAGAACTTGCTATCTGGCGATTTCCCAAAGCCTTTCAGCGGACCAACCACATCCACGCTCATGCAATAAGCCATCGGATGCAATGAAGACCGGTGCTGGTGG